GGGGCCACTTTAAATGTCCAAGGGGGCCACACATGACATGCCCAAGGGGGAGCCACAGCCGCTTTCCTATGGATGCTGGCATCTTCTCACTGTGATTTTCACAGTGAGAAGCACGCAAGCGCCTTTAGCGGCTGTCAGTGAGACAGCCACTAGAGGATTTGGAGGCTGGATTAACCCATTTATAAACATAGCAGCTTCTCTGAAACTGCTATGTTTATAAAAAAAAAATGGGTTAACCCTAGCTGGACCTGGCACCCAGACCACTTCATTAAGCTGAAGTGGTCTGGGTGCCTAGAGTGGTCCTTTAACTGCATGTACTGGTTATCATTATATTTTATACCACTTTATTTTTCACAAAGATTCGTCTTCTAACCATTTGTCAAATAAACTGTGTTTGATTTTATCCCGCTTGAAGTAATTTTTGTAAAGGCATTACTGCAATACCAAGCTGTGGATTCTCAACAGTATTTTATTTCTGATAATACGAGAAATATAGTTATTAAATTTGGTTAATGCATATTCACCACTGCGGAGGTGGATAAAGACTATACAGTAAATTAATATACTGTCACATTCTCACATTTTTTATAAACATTAAGGGTAAGACTTTTTGAAGTGCTGACACTTTATAATGCTTGTTTTTAAAGGTCCTTTTAGGAATCACCTTTCATGTGTTTAGCAGCTTTCACTCTATTATTATACATCTGTATTTTAATTTTTCAGATTTTTGATTGCACTTTTTCGATCTTATATGCAAAGAAAATATACAGAGGGAGGCTGTCACGTGGACCCCGTCCCCAAGACCTGACCTGTCACAGCACTGTGCCCAACCAGGAAGTAAGCAAAAAGAATTGCAAAGTTTGTGATGTTACATGTTGCCCTCTTTTTGCCATCTTCACTGTGTGGCTTAAAAAAGCAGTTTAAAAATGAGAGAGAGAGAGAGAGAGAGAGAGAGAGTTATAGAAACAAAAGGGAATTGGGGGCACACATGGACTATACATTTCTTAGCAGCAGTGCTAAAACCAAAATATGCATGCATTGCTCATATTCTGGGTATGCTAACAATTCCCCTTTTTTTCTGCATATTTAGAATAATCCATGCCAGATTTATTTGGGGTTGAGCACCTGCCCCTCCACTATAGGTGCCGCTTTGGAGGTGAACACACAAAAAGCATACATTTGCATCTAGCATGTTTATCTCTAGTGTAGGACCCACTGATATTGGGCTAACCTGATGTAGTGGTGGGTGGGCTTAACACAATATAGCCAAGATATAATAAACACCAAAGAAAAAAGTTACTTGCGCGCTATCCTAAATATCCTATGCACATTTAAATAACTGGAGGTTTAGTATATTCTTTTTTGTTTTTTATTGTATGTATTGGGGCTGATGTATATAGTTATTGATGCTGCCCAAAAGTAGTGGGAGTTTGAGTGCAGGACTTAATTTTGTATGACATGACAACTGAATCCCCATATTTGTTTACTGAGAGAGGTGATTTTAAATAGCCTTCAAGTGTATATATGTATATTTTTTTTTATTGATTTGTTGATTCTTAATGCTATAGTGTCTCCCTTACCTATGTAGGTGTCTTCCCCCTGCTAGGGTTAAAACGTTGCTTTACATCCCATGGCGTTGGTTTTCCTGGCTGAAATCAGCATTCTTAATGATCTCAGCCAATCCAATGCTTCCATAGAGATGTATTGGGAGGGTAGTACGCTTTGGTGGAAAAATACAGCACTGCGGCAATCGAATACCCTCTAGGAGAGTCATTTGAGCTATAACGAAGTTTAAATTGTTTATAGCTGCAGCTGTAGCTGTGAGAAAGACAGCCACAAGGAGCGTGTTAACCCTGTAATGAAAATATTGCCATTCCTGCAAAAATGCAATGTTTTCAGATGCAGGTTGAAAAATACAAGGGCATGGCACTCAGACCTCATTGAGATGACCTGAATGCATTGAGCCTGTTGTCTTAGTTCTGCAAGGTAAAACCATGCGCATGTCAATGTGTATCTGATGTATTGCTGATCACTGTGTAAAAAAAAAAACCTTCTCTTTTTGTACATACAGCAATGTTTACATTACGGTGTTACACATGCCTTTTAGTGGCTATCATATTGTGAAAACAGAATCCGAGTAAGGTGGGAATTGTTGGAAATTTAAAGTGAATTTAAAAAATCTAGACCAAAAGTTTTGTGTAATTTTTTAAGGTTGTTTTAAAGTTGTTTTAAAGACATAAATTCTCACTTTACTTTAAAACACTTATTTAGGTTTCCTGGTGTTTAGTGGTGCAGTATCTAAAATAGAGCTATGAATTTATAACTAGACAGAATATAAGAGTAAACCCTATAGTTGCAAATTATGTATCTGGATAATAAAAGTTTATAGTTTCATAATTACCAAGTGGACTTTCCAGCAGGAGCTACAGGCCCCATCTAAACAAATATACTATGAGTAAATAGGCATCCAGACAACTTCAGTTTATTGAAGTTGTCAGGGTGCAGAGTTCCTGCAACGTTTACATTGCAGCACTAAGTCGGCAGACAGCCACTGGAGGCGCTTCTTTGTGGCTAGGCAACCTTTGGTCGCCTAACTGACACTGGATGTCCTCATGCTCTGCATTAGGAAATCCAGCTTCAGTGAAATCCCCATAGGAAAGCATTGAATTAATGCTATCCTGTTGGGACGGCCTAATGTGCTTGCATGCACGTTAGATCTTCCGCCTCGTAGGAGGTGGAGCACCGAGGGAGATAGGTGCTGGAATCGGGATAGTGAATAAAGGGTTTATTAACCACTTTGTATTCCTAGCACTATAGTATCCCTTTAAACAAATCATAAGATAGGTAAAATCAAACAAATCAGCCGTAAAACAATGTTTGGAGAATCAATGACAGGATTTTTGTTTTTTTCTTTATTTTACTTAGATTAAAAAAAACAATGTCTTCAAAAAAACGAAAGGGAGGTGCAGAAAAAAATCAGAGAGAAATTTAAAAAGTGTTTGGAGCTCGATGCTCAGAAATGTGCTAAGATTACGGATATGTTCGGTCCTCATGCACAGAGTACCAGTGATTCCATAGCAGGAACTAGTAGAGAGGCAGCAAACACTGAACAAATATTAGAAGATGAATGTGTTGAGGAAACAGCAGGATTATTCACTGAAGAACAAGGAGAACTGGGGCACCCTGAATCCCCAACAGAACAAGTGATTGCAGATATTTCAGAGTGCCAAACTGAAGTGTTAGATCCATCATTCAATTATTTTGCTTGTCCAAATAGAAATGAACTTGCTGTCTTTTTAAAATACCATCCACAGCATGAAATTCCCGATCCAGTGTTAAAAAAATCTGTAAAGCGCAAAGATGGAACAATCCGTAAATGGCTCTCGTACTGTAAAATAACGAAAGCCATGTTTTGCTCTGTTTGTCTGGCTTTTTCAAAGTCACATGAAACAAATTCTTTCATTGAAGGAATGACCGATAAGCACCATGTTCATCAAAGAATTGAAGAGCATGAGAAGAGTGCAATGCATAATGCTGAAGCTTTTTTTCTGAAATCCAGCAGTGCTGGTGTTGACGATCTACTTTTGTTTAAACAAATGTCTGTAAGGCGCGAGCAAGTCAGAAACCGGCTGCAAGTACTGCATAGGGTAGTAGACGTTGTAAAAGTGATAGGAAAGCAAGGGCTGAGTTATAGGGGAGATAAAGATGAGGCTGCATTCAACTTAGAGGACATTACGAAAGACCATGGAAATTTTTTAGAGCTCATTCTTCTTCTTAGTAAATATGACATTTGTCTAAAATATCACGTCAACAAATGTATTGAAAAAAGTAAAATATTGCAGCTCTCCAGAGGTAAAGGAAGAGGATCTTTGGTAACCCTGCTCTCGAAAACAACTGTTAACAAAGTATTAGAAAGTATCCGACTGCTCATCCAGGAAACTATATCCAATGAAGTAAGGGAAGCTGGCATGTTTTCGATTCAAGTTGATACGACTCAAGATATCACCTCCAAAGATCAATGCTCGATAATTGTTCGTTATGTGAAGGAGTGCATCAAGGAGAAGCTACTTGCAATTGTAGAATGTGAATTTTCGACGGGAAAAAATCTATTTAAATTGGTAATGGAAGTCTTAAAATCATACAAACTTGAAATCACAAAATGCATTGGCAGTTCAACGGATGGAGCAGCAAATATGCAAGGTCAATATAATGGTTTCTCTTCATGGCTGTCAACTGAATCACCAGAGCAAGTTCACATCTGGTGCTATGCACACATACTGAATTTGGTACTTGCAGATACTACAAAAGTAGTGGTTGCAAGTGCATCACTATTTAGTTTGTTGAATGACATTGCAGTGTTTATTCGTGATTCTTACCAGCGTACGAATACCTGGGAAGAAGTTAGTCAAGACCCTCACCATCGGAGAATTTCAGTAATTGGAGAAACTCGCTGGTGGTCAAAAGATGCTGCATTAAGAAAAGTTTTTGGGGAATTTTCAAATCCTGATTCTGCTTTGTTTCTCAGTTTAATTTACACTTTGAGCAAAATTGAAGAAAGTGTTTAATCAAAACCTGAGGTGCGTGTTAGAGCGAAAGCTTATGCAGAATCCCTTCTCAAATATGAAACCGTTCTTACAGCTCAAATTTTTCTGCAAATATTTGAATTGACCACACCTTTGTCTAAATATCTGCTGACAAGTCAAATGGACATATCTAAAGCTGTTCACATGGTACAGGGAACATATGAACAACTTAAAACAGTTGTGAGAGGCTTTGATGCTATACAGATTTCTGCGGATAATTTTGTTAAGTGGGCAAATAACAAGTTTCAAGAACAAGAAATGATCCACCTTGAAGTACAGACCACTCTACCTAAAAAAAGAACAAGAAAACGAAAACAGATGGCAGACGAGTCTGTTGAAGATGTAGTTGTTTGAGATGCTATTTCAACATACAAGATAAATGTTCACAATGTCATATTGGATATGGTCACAGAGAGTATGAATCGCCGCTTTCTCTCCCGTGGAACCCTCTTTGCTGACTTGGCATGCTTGGAGCCGAACAACTTTCCTGAAATAAGAAAATCTGGACTTCAAGAACGAGCAATGGAAGAACCTAGCCGATTGTTAGTTAAATTTGATGAGGGAGCAACATCAGAAAATTTGCCTTCCCAACTGGCAAATTTTGCATTGCAATGGGAGAGGCTGAAGACATCACCCTTAGAAGAATATAGGATTATAAAAGATATACCTATAGCAGACCAGGAAAGTAATTTAGCAGATACAGAATTGGTGAACAAGTCTTGCAAGGCATGTAAGAACTGTGCTATTTGCTGCTATCAGATTTTACAGCGCTTTAATTTATTAACTGATGCCTACAATGTCATTGGTGTAGCCTACAAATTTCTGCTTACACTGTCTTTCACTCAAGGTGCCTGTGAAAGAAACTTCTCGACATTGAAGTTTATCAAGACCCGTCTAAGAAGTTCTCTCTCCCAGGAGCATTTGAGCTCTTTGATGCTGATAGCAACTGAAAAAGATATATTAATGAACCTTGATTCTGACGATATAATTGACAGGGTTGCAGAAACCAGTCATCTTCTACGAAATTTGCTGAATCCGTAGTGCAATATCCTTTGTGGTCATTGTCCTTTGAAGTTATAGAATGTTGTATATCTCAGGGATAGAATGGTCAGTTTTTATGTTTTGAACATTATTTATGTTTATTTATAAAATGTTTTGTTATTTATATATTTATTTAAAAGATCTCATTAGTGTTGTATGGATCATGACCCTGCACTGTAGCTGCTCAATTATCTACCGTTGAGGAGTTAAATCACTTTGTTAATGCAAACCTAGCAACACCACCTCTGCTTGTAACTTACATAGCCTCCCTACACACTTAATGTTTAAACTTTATTTATTACACAGTCCATTTAGAATGTATCTTCTACTCTGTTAATGGCCTGCTAGAGCAGGGGTTTCCAACCCAGTCCTCAAGAACCCCTTACCAGTCCAGGATTTACCCTGATGTGTCTAAAGTGTTTTTGGTTTTTTTTCTAAAAACACCTTAAACACAACTGGGTAATCCCTAAATCCTGGACTGGTTGGGGGTACTTGAGGACTGGGTTGGTAACTGCTGTGCTAGAGCCTCCTGTATGTGGCTAGGGCTGCATAAACAGAAGCAAAAGTGACCTAATGCCTAAATGGCAGAGAATTGAGACATGATCTATACACCAAAATGCTCCATTAAGCTAAAGTTGTTTTGGTGCTCAAAGTACCCCTTTAAGAAAGCAGGGCTTAGTTTCTAAGTGAGAGGTTTTTTTTACCAAAGTTCTTCATTATGCTAAAGTTGTTTTGGTGCTTAAAGTACCCTTTTAAGTAAGCAGGGCTTAGTTTCTAAGTGAGTCGGTTAGTTTACCAAAGTTCTTCATTAAGCTAAAGTTGTTTTGGTGCTTAAAGTACCCTTTTAAGTAAGCAGGGCTTAGTTTCTAAGTGAGTCGGTTAGTTTACCAAAGTTCTTCATTAAGCCAAAGTTGTTTTGGTGCGTAAAGTACCCTTTTAAGTAAGCAGGGCTTAGTTTCTAAGTGAGAGGTTAGTTTACCAAAGTTCTTCATTAAGCCAAAGTTGTTTTGGTGCTTAAAGTACCCTTTTAAGTAAGCAGGGCTTAGTTTCTAAGTGAGTCGGTTAGTTTACCAAAGTTCTTCATTAAGCCAAAGTTGTTTTGGTGCTTAAAGTACCCTTTTAAGTAAGCAGGGCTTAGTTTCTAAGTGAGAGGTTAGTTTACCAAAGTTCTTCATTAAGCCAAAGTTGTTTTGGTGCTTAAAGTACCCTTTTAAGTAAGCAGGGCTTAGTTTCTAAGTGAGAGGTTTGTTTACCAAAGTTCTTCATTAAGCTAAAGTTGTTTTGGTGCTTAAAGTACCCTTTTAAGAAAGCAGGGCTTAGTTTCTAAGTGAGAGGTTTGTTTACCAAAGTTCTTCATTAAGCCAAAGTTGTTTTGGTGCTTAAAGTACCCTTTTAAGAAAGCAGGGCTTAGTTTGTAAGTGAGTCGGTTTGTTTACCAAAGTTCTTCATTAAGCTAAAGTTGTTTTGGTGCTTAAAGTACCCTTTTAACTAAGCAGGGCTTAGTTTCTAAGTGAGTTTTTTTTTTGTTTTTTTTTACCACATATTCTACATCTCTAAAAAAAAACAAAAAACTAAACGTTCAAAGATTTGTTATTGTTTTGAAACTTTAATTAAAGATATTGCACTTCATAAATTGCTTTAAGTTGTGTTTTATTTTTTTTAATCAAATATTTATATAATGCCAACTGATTAATTAGTGACTGAAGGCCTGAAGCATTCTAAATATAACTAATAGACAGCAAGACACCAGTATATTATATTTGTCATAATTAACCATTTGGTTTAAGAAAAAATAAAAAAGGGCTGCTCAGTCTTAAATGCCCGGGCCTATTTTTTGTCCTAGTCCGGGCCTGTATGTGGCTCTCACTGATGTCGCCTTGGGACTTTTTCAAGGATGTCCCTCTCGTATTACCACGTGGCTGGATCGCTGGTCCCACTTGGCTTTGAAGGGGTTCCAAGATTAATGGATATTCTCACTTAATTTGCCAGAGTTCCCAAAAAGATCCCACTTCACTTAACAAACTTCTCAATAGAAGGTTCAATATGGGATATATAGCCAAATATTTATTCAAAAAAATATTAAAAAATGCATTATAAAATAATTGATAAAAAAAAAACAATAAGACAATATTCTAAAAGTCTATAGCTAAAGTGCTATATTCAAGTCCAGCCAAATGGCTAGTGCAAAGTCCGAGACGCGTTTCGCCCCTTCCAGGGGCTTTTTCAATCGGTATTTCTATTTTCTTTTAATGCTGGCGGCTTTTTCTAGTAATTCGCTGGTTTACTTCAGGGTTCCGGCCAGTCCTAACTTGGAACGCAACGTGCGTTCCAAATTACTTCCGGGTTTCGGCTACCTTTTATTTGGAACGCACCGTGAAATACAAGTTTTTTAAAAAGGCCTTAAGTTTGCCCCAACAGCTGAAATAGACAAATTTTACTTTTTCATAGACATGAATAAATTTATGAGAAGTTTATGTTTGAAAAAGTTTTTCAATGAGAAAGAAGGCTCAATTAAAGACCCTGAGGAAACAGACCCGAATATGTACAAACTCATTTGAAAGATAAATCCCTCTTCTTCCCGAAACACATGATCTCGGACAAGATGAGAACGTTCGAGACCGTGGTGATGGGAGAAATAAATAAAATGAAAAAGTTGAATAAATTCCAACAAAATATGTCAGTAAGGGGAAAAAAACTATTAAAAAATCTACAAAAGAATAAAGAATTGGTTATAAAACCAGCAGATAAAGGGGGAGGGATAGTAGTACTAGCCAAAGCGGAGTATATGAAAGAATCTGAGAGAATTTTGTCAGATGAAACAACGTATAGAAAACTCAATTCAAATCCTACAGAGAAGGTAAAAGAATTGTAAGGTAATTTTATAAAAAAAAGGATTAGAAAACAATATCCTTACAGAAAAAGAAGGCAAATATTTATTAGTAGCCCACCCGAAAATCCCAGTTTTTTATTATTTACCAAAAGTGCACAAAAACCCACTTAATCCTCCAGGACATTCCATTATTTCCGGGATTGATTCGATATCCTCACGGATCTCCGAATATATCGATATATTATTACAACCTATAGTTACAAAAACACAAGCTCATCTCAAAGATACCATTCATATTTTAAAACTTTGGAATCGACACAATGGAAAGAAAGTTATTGCCTAGTCACGAGTGACGTGACATCGCTATATAGCATTATCCCCCACGACATAGGGATAAAAGCAGTCGAATATTTTTTAACTAAGGCCAATTTTAAGATGGAACAAATAGAATTTATTTTAGAAGGAATCCATCTCATTTTAACAATTTTTTTTGGTATAATGATATTTTTTACCTTCAAATTAGGGGTACAGCTATGGGCACCAAATTCGCATCCAGTTATGCAAATTTATTTATGGCATATTGGGAGGAACACTACATTTTTTCCTCCCATCCCTGGGTGTCGAATTTGGTGTCCTATCATCGATACATTGACAACATTTTTTATATTTGGGATGGCCCTTTAGAGCTTTTAGAAAGTTTTAAACTTTGTCTCAATGACAATGAATGGGGAATTTTACTTACCACAACCCTTAGTCAGACGGAAATACAATTTTTAGATCGTCAAATTTTTATACAAGATGCACAGATCAAAACTAAGAACTTTTTTAAAGAGGTGGATGCTAACGGTGGATACATAGAGAAATCCAGTTGCCACCACAGACCGTGGCTGAATAATGCACCAAAAGGGCAATTAATCAGAATCAGGCGCAATTGCACCAATGAGGAAGATTATATGATACAGGCAGGAAGAATAAAAGAACAATTTGAAGAAAAAGGCTATGAGATAAGAGTTGGAGAAAGACATGGAAGATGTTAGAAGAACAACAAGAAGGAAGCTATTAACTTATAAACCAAAAAACACCCAGCAAACATATTCTAAAGAAATTCCCTTTATATGTAATTTTAACGGCAACCATAAAGGTATAAATAAAGCCATAAATAAATATTGGTATGTTTTACAAGAAGATTCCATTTTAAAGAATATTTTACCTACCCGACCTAATATAATCTATAGAGGTGCGGCCAATCTTAAAAGAACTTTGGTCCGTAGCAGTGAAGGTCCAACAGTCAGCACACACTTTTTAAACCAAAATAAAGGTTTCTGTGGATGTGGGGCTTGTTTAGCATGTAGGAATACCAAAAGCTCAAAGAGACATTTAATCAATATGAAAGAATATATTAATAAGGAGTTCATCATTAGGGACCAATTGACCTGCTTCTCAAAGGGAGTAATTTACGTGTTAAAATGCCCCTGCAATTTATTATATATAGGGCGGACCATAAGATGCCTGTACATAAGAATTTCAGAGCATATACGGAATATAAAAAATGGATTGGAAACACATAGTGTATCCAACCACATTAAGAGATATCATAATCAAAATCCTGATAGTTTGTTTTTCTGTCCGCTAAAAATTGTTAAAAGAGATTGGAGAGGGGGCGATTTTAATCAGAAAATAGGGATAGAAGAAATGAAATTTATATATAATTTTAATACCCTTGCACCCCATGGATTAAATTCGGATTTTGAGGATTGCCACTTTTTTTAAAATGCACGATAATTTGCTTTTTAATTAGAATATAGACTTATAATCACCTCCTACTGTTCACATATATGAGATATTATTTGATATATATGAATATTATATGATATGTGAGTTATAATCATTTAATTATAATTTTTCTATGTCCTGGCCGGATTTGGAATGGAACGCACAACCTCTCTGGTGTGTGCTCCAATGATGAACTATTATATACAATGCAATCTTGTGTCACAAAGAGAAGGACATTGAAATCCAGAAATAGGAGGAAGACTAATTTCTGTAGAATGGAACGCATGGAGCGTTCCAAATAGAAGGTAGCCGGAACCCGGAAGTATGTGGGAGACGAACGACGGAATGGAACGCACGGTGCGTTCCAAATAGAAGGTAGCCGAAACCCGGAAGTAAT